GGCAAAATTTTTTCATTAGTGTAGGGAGTGAAAAAATTTCGCTAGTAAACGGAATGGGAAACAAATCGCTAGTGTAACGGGGCGAATTTTTTTCCTAGTGTAGGGTTCTGTGACTAATTTTTATTTAAAAAGTTCCATTAGTACATACGAAGTACTATATACACGATGAAAATTAAATCTATTATATTCTAATTCTAATTTTAGACAATGAAAAGATAACTTTGATTTAATAACTATAAGTGCTCCAGAAAAAAATATTGATACATTAAAGTTTAAGAAATGACAAATTAAAGGAAAATTATTTGAAAATAAGAAATGATATGATATATGTAATATAACATTTTATGATATTATTTGAAGGTAAAGTGGTTAAAGTTAAAGGTACACATCAATCAATGCTTTTTAAGTAACTTATGTCTTGTTTAACCACATGAATCTTAACAGAATAAAGAATTGGTTTTTGAATTGAGATTTTTGTCCAAGAAGGGTATTTGTGGGTCATGATGAGTTTTCTTAATGTTACAATAGTATGTATGACATTATTATACTTAGAATAATATGATACGTAGTAATGTTAATTCATATATATGGTGCATATTATATTTGTATTAATGCTAAAATAAGTTAAAGTATTATCTATTCAACAAATTGTTTTTAGAAAGTAAGAGGTAAATGAAATGTGTAATTTAATGCCAACAAACATTTATACTATTTAACTATTGTATCTGATATTCAATATCTTTTGATATCTTACAAAATCGAGTACTAATTATCTAATAAAGAATTAAAGATAATTAAACATTACAAAACTAAGAATTTTGTGGTACCCTAAGTCTTAAACAACGAGTTCTATTATTTATTTTTTTAAGTTATGTAAATTATTTTAGATTCTACTTCTTTTAAATCTCCAATTAAGCATTGCATTATGTGAGCCTATATATTAATTTTGAAAACTAAAAGTTAAGGGGGGAGAAAACATATATACCTAATTAAAGTATGAAAATTTTATGAAAATATTATATATAGTAGAAAAATTTGGAAGTCCAAGGGGGCGGTCCCCCCCCCCCCACTTCTTTCATCGTCTTCAACCTAGGGTTCGTCTTCAACCTCGGTTCGCCATCAACCTCGGCCGCCTTGACAGAATAATCAGAGTTGTAGGAGCAGTAGAGGGGCGCGGCTGCGAGTTGGATAGAGTGCAACCGTGCGGCTGGACGGCGACGAGAACGGCAACGCCTAGGGCTTGGGACGATGTTGGCGAGCAGGAATCGGGATGGAGGCGGCGCCCACAGCTCGGGATAATAGTGGCGCGCATGTGTAGGGATGGCGGTGGCATACTGGCAAGGTCGGTTGGTGGCGGCGGCGTTGGCGAACAAGCGTGGAACTGGGCGTGACCAGACAAACCTGTGACTAGAGATGGACTGGTGGACGGCGGTCGGCGAACATGGTGCGTGCAGTGGTCCGGGGGACGGCGGCGGTAGGGGTGTGCGGTGAGCGCATGAGGCGGGTGGATGTGTGCGGCTGGTTGCTAGGTTTTGTAGAAAAGAGTAGGGATGTTAGGGTTTTATAGGTATAGCGTAAAGGGTATATTTGTCCATAAAAATATTTATTTATTTATTTATTATGAATTGTTATTAAATAATATGAATTTAGGTGTTATTTTGGGGGGAAAATAGTTAGGTCATAGATTGGGAAAGTGAAAGAGTTTTAGTCATATGGGGGATAATTGTTTCAATAAAACTATGTGGTCTCATCTTTTCTCGGCGGCGAAACTCGAAGATGACAAGCCTCTGAAGTTGCTGCTTTTTTCAGGCATGCCAGCCGTTGAATATAATTGTAACACCCCCAAATTTCCCACCCAAAAATACATTTAAATAATGGTTTATTCGAAAACATGATAGTCTTGCAGCGGAAAATTCAAAGGGAAACAGGGGCGTTACCGCCACACTCGGTTCTCACATAACCGAGTGCACAGGCTATCCACCACCAACAATTAAAATTTTAGTTAATTAATTGTTCAACTACAATTCTTTAACATTAAGACTAAAATAAATTACTCATTCACTTTAGTCTATGTGTTCTAGCGGAAGCTCTCGAAATCAACTTCAATATGATCCTCAACTCCTGCACAAATAAAGTACAGAAAGAAAAACACAAAGAAACAAAAATTAGCTGGAAATGCTAAGTAAGGCCCACCCAACCCTGTAAAATAATCATGTTTGATACATATATATCATTTTGTGAAAACATTTGGGAGGAAACCTCATGAAACATTTTATACAAACTTCTCATCACAAATCACATGTAAAATAATAATATTCCAAATATAGGTACATATTTCCAAATCATAATAATTCTAAAAGGTCAATATACATAAACCACCAAAATCCTCGTAATTATATTCCAAAACATAAATCATATGTAAAGCCCAAATATTCATCTCAAAATACTTCCAAATACTCATAATCAATATTCAACATAACCATATCAAATCAAGTTAATAAGTATTACTTTGAAAATCTACAAATAATTTACTAATCTCAACCATATCAAATTCAATTCAATCCAAACAAATATAACCCACTCAAATAATCCAATATAATGTAGTTCAATTCATCTCCATCAAGTCCAACCAAATAATCCAAATCATCTCAAGTCCAATCATTCAAACTCAACCAAATCCAATGGAAGCCGAACTCCTACTTTAAGTGTGCACACCCCCTAAAAGAGATTCCAAGCTCTCCGGGTAGTAAAAAGTCCGAGTAGTCGGGATTTTTCTACCGACTACTACTATTAAGCTGGGATGCTCCGCTTTTGGGAGATCCCTGGTGGAATTAGACTTATAGTCATTACCACTCACCAAATCCACATTTCTCCGAGTACTCACAAAAAAATCATAATCCAATCTCAATTTCAAGTATCATAACATCAATCAAAATGGATATAAAATCCAAATTCCACAAAATTATTCACAATGAAATTATTAACTCCAATTCATCATACTCAAATATACCATAAATAGTCCAAAATATAGGATACTTCATAAATAGTTCAAATCTCAAATCTCAATCCAATAACAATTCATATGCAAATTCAAATGCTCAAAATATCACCCAATATAAAAATACTCAAATCTCGAATATATATAATTCACAATCACAATTGATACGAAAAATCTCATTAACTATCATATACTCAAATGATCTCAAATAACTAGTCACAAATAAATTTATATGGGAAAAGCATGAAACTTGGTTGACATAGTACTTACCTTAATTTGCAGTAAATCCTAACCGAAGCTTTGATTGTCTCCAAAATTCACCTTCTAGAATATTAAAATTCTAGAATTAGTACGCAATCTTATTCTTATACTTTACTCAATTCCTACAAACACTGAGATTAATTGGTTATACTTCGATTATTATCACTGATAAGTAATTTAATCAAGTTTCTATATAAGATAACCCTTCTGTTTTTACAAACAGTTCCATTATGCCGGTACCCTAGTTTAACTAATACGAAGTATCATTAAATCAATCCATCAGCCCATACTAGTATACGTACAAACCCAGTTTTTATTATTACTAGTATTACTTAACATTTTTAAGAATCTGACCCACCAGTAATAGCCTTTAGTTTATAATAACGATAAAAATAATACGGAGTATAACCACGTACGTACGTAAGTAGTCGTTGTCCTTGTCGTTGGTCCGGCGGCTAACCTGTTTTTTTTCTCCCCCGGCGAGCTCCCCTTCCGGTGACTGGTTCAGTGGGTTGCGGCGTCATTCAGTGGCAGCAGTCAGGTCTGGCGGTAGAAACTCCGGCTTCTTTTCTTCCTCCGGCGTACAACTGGGTCTTCTTCTCCGGCGACGGTTTGTCTTCTCTGCCGGCGTCTATACAGTCCGGCGCTCTTGGAATATTATCCCGGCATGCCATCCCCCCTTTTTTAGACGACGCAGCATAGAGGTTCTGGCCACTCAGGTTTCCCGCCGGTGATATGCAACTTGTCCGACGATGCACCTTACTTCGACGCACCGGCCTGGGAAATCTCCGGCTGCCTCTAACGATGCTATTTTTCTTGTTTCTCTTATCTTTCAGTGATGGGAGTCGCAGTATTTTTACTGAGGAACTTTGTTCGATGGTTCGTTTATATACTACGTATACGTATATCATATCACTGTGAATAAGGAGTACATAGTATTATTACGTAGGTACGAAAAGACAACTGGCTATGAGAATTATTATTCTTTCATCTTATTTTCGCAGATGTAAAATATTGTTCTGAATTTGTTAGTATCATAGTCGCATTATTATGTAAGTATGCATGTATGTGTATTATTATTCGATGGGAAAGGACAGACAAGTTCATATGGAGGAGCAGAACAAGGCCATGTGATGTACGAAGTATGAGCCATGCATGAGGTATGCCATGTGTGTCACATGGTATTCACGTAATAGGAGGGTCATCGCAATAGTCTCCATACAAATAATAACTAAATTAATATTTTCAAGTGCATAGTATTCCTATGAGTTATATTGCACCGTTGGAGTACGTATAATAATGTACCTCTTATCATTGTTATGCTTAAAAAGTCAGCTTTGTAATTTCTGTACAAATATTATCAACCGATATCTTTTGAGTTAAAAATTGTTAAATTGTCACTTTTATTATTTATGTCAAGGTCCTATCTGGTCAATATAATTATTATAACATGTCACTTTTATTGTTGAAACATTTTTATCTTATTAAAAAATGTCATTGATGTTAAAATTTTATCTGATTCACTTATTTTATCTGACTAATAAAAACATTTTATCTCACTAATAAAATTTATTTACTTTATTGAAATTTTTCGGGGTGTCACATTCCACCCTCCTTAAAAGAATGCTTCGTCCCCGAAGCATTTAACTTATTCAAGAAAATAATTTATTCGTCAAAGATCAAATGATACATAATTCTCAAATAGATTTACTAATTTTGAAAATTAGAAATTTTATGATTTCGCCTATTATTTTCAATTCTTCCATTGTGTTTTGTATTATTTCCATGACCATTGATTCCACGAGTGGGAGGGATTCCCTTCTTCCTTGAATGACACTCGAATACCCTATGTCCAAGCTTGTCACAATGAAAACATCGTACGAGTGTTCCGTCACAGTATTTCCTGGGGTGATCTTTTCCACACTTCGAGCAGTAGAAGTGCATGTCTTGAGTTGAGTTCTTCTTCTTACGCTTCTGGTCTTGGTTGTTGTTCTTCTTCCCGTTCCGAGTGTGCCCTAGCTGATTTAGCTCACGTTGTTTGCCTCCTGGTTTGCTTTCTCCTTCAGTCCCCTTCCTTGCTCTCTTGAGTGTTTTCTTCTGGAGTTGTTGCACTCGATAGTGTTTGCCAGCTTTGTTGTATGCATCGTTCAATGTTTGGCATTCTGAAACACAAAGAGCTTTTTGTGTCTCGAAGTTCAGACCACGTATAAACTTATTTGTTTTCTCGATTTCATCGGGAACTAGCGTGGGTGCAAATCGTGCGAGATTCAGGAATTTAGCATGATACTCTTGGACAGTCATGTCTATTTGCTTCAGGTGTAAAAATTCTTCATACTTCTCAGCTCTCACGTGCTCTGGGTAGAATCTCTTTCGCATTGCCTCCTTGAACGTCTCCCAAGAAAAGTTAGGTTGTCCACGTAACGTTGGGGCAGACGTTGCCCACCAATTGTCTGCCTCTTGACGTAGATAATACGCAGCCGTATTAATTCGTTGATCTGCAGGGCAGTTTATAGCATCGAAGAGTTTGTCGAAAGTGCGAATCCAATCCTCAAGGATGAGAGGATCTTCTTGGCCTAAATAACACGGGGGATTGCGCTTCGCAACAAGTTTCGCTACATCATAGCGGTTTTTGAGACGTTGTTGGTGTTGGTTCTGAATTAGCACACTCCCGATAGTCTGGATGAGTTGAACCATATTTTGAGCCAACTCCGCATTCGTCGGTGCGGCAACATTGTCTTCTACTTTGCTTTTTGTTGACTTCATTGTCTACTTGAAAGAATAATTTTTAGGACACGAAATATATTGAATGACATCAATAATTATACTACCTTACCTAATAACTCACTACTCACATAATTTGGTAAGTTCCTCTAAAAGTCCAAACTCATTCTCAAATGAGTCAATTCCAATCAATATATCTCATATAATTATAAATCAAACATTTCAATAAACCACAAACTCTACCAAAATAGAAATTCAAAATCTCACATTCTCACCACGATCCTAAATATATTATTTCTTAGTCCAATTATTATTCCTATGTTTATGTTTTTTTTTCTTCAAAACATATTTAGAAAAACAGGTTTCAACCTTTTTTTTTTTAAACATTTGAGAAAACGTCTTGTAATTTTTTTTTAATATGTTTTAGGAAAAAAAAATCTTTATACCAACTTGTTGGCCAGGATCACTAGTTGGAGTTTCAGAAAATCTTAGAAAACGTTAGTAACTCCTTTTTGAAAACCGAAGTCACTGAAGGAAAGCTTTTATTCGAAAATCCCCATTCCAAAACCGTAGGTTTTGATACCAACTATTGATATCACTAAAGGAAGTTTAAGATAAACTCAGAAAATATTTAGAATTTTTTTTTAAACCCATAGTCACTTGAGAGAAACTTTTATTTTTTTTAAATCCCCAATTCAAAATTCATAGTCTCTGATACCAACTTGTAACACCCCCAAATTTCCCACCCAAAAATACATTTAAATAATGGTTTATTCGAAAACATGATAGTCTTGCAGCGGAAAATTCAAAGGGAAACAGGGGCGTTACCGCCACACTCGGTTCTCACATAACCGAGTGCACAGGCTATCCACCACCAACAATTAAAATTTTAGTTAATTAATTGTTCAACTACAATTCTTTAACATTAAGACTAAAATAAATTACTCATTCACTTTAGTCTATGTGTTCTAGCGGAAGCTCTCGAAATCAACTTCAATATGATCCTCAACTCCTGCACAAATAAAGTACAGAAAGAAAAACACAAAGAAACAAAAATTAGCTGGAAATGCTAAGTAAGGCCCACCCAACCCTGTAAAATAATCATGTTTGATACATATATATCATTTTGTGAAAACATTTGGGAGGAAACCTCATGAAACATTTTATACAAACTTCTCATCACAAATCACATGTAAAATAATAATATTCCAAATATAGGTACATATTTCCAAATCATAATAATTCTAAAAGGTCAATATACATAAACCACCAAAATCCTCGTAATTATATTCCAAAACATAAATCATATGTAAAGCCCAAATATTCATCTCAAAATACTTCCAAATACTCATAATCAATATTCAACATAACCATATCAAATCAAGTTAATAAGTATTACTTTGAAAATCTACAAATAATTTACTAATCTCAACCATATCAAATTCAATTCAATCCAAACAAATATAACCCACTCAAATAATCCAATATAATGTAGTTCAATTCATCTCCATCAAGTCCAACCAAATAATCCAAATCATCTCAAGTCCAATCATTCAAACTCAACCAAATCCAATGGAAGCCGAACTCCTACTTTAAGTGTGCACACCCCCTAAAAGAGATTCCAAGCTCTCCGGGTAGTAAAAAGTCCGAGTAGTCGGGATTTTTCTACCGACTACTACTATTAAGCTGGGATGCTCCGCTTTTGGGAGATCCCTGGTGGAATTAGACTTATAGTCATTACCACTCACCAAATCCACATTTCTCCGAGTACTCACAAAAAAATCATAATCCAATCTCAATTTCAAGTATCATAACATCAATCAAAATGGATATAAAATCCAAATTCCACAAAATTATTCACAATGAAATTATTAACTCCAATTCATCATACTCAAATATACCATAAATAGTCCAAAATATAGGATACTTCATAAATAGTTCAAATCTCAAATCTCAATCCAATAACAATTCATATGCAAATTCAAATGCTCAAAATATCACCCAATATAAAAATACTCAAATCTCGAATATATATAATTCACAATCACAATTGATACGAAAAATCTCATTAACTATCATATACTCAAATGATCTCAAATAACTAGTCACAAATAAATTTATATGGGAAAAGCATGAAACTTGGTTGACATAGTACTTACCTTAATTTGCAGTAAATCCTAACCGAAGCTTTGATTGTCTCCAAAATTCACCTTCTAGAATATTAAAATTCTAGAATTAGTACGCAATCTTATTCTTATACTTTACTCAATTCCTACAAACACTGAGATTAATTGGTTATACTTCGATTATTATCACTGATAAGTAATTTAATCAAGTTTCTATATAAGATAACCCTTCTGTTTTTACAAACAGTTCCATTATGCCGGTACCCTAGTTTAACTAATACGAAGTATCATTAAATCAATCCATCAGCCCATACTAGTATACGTACAAACCCAGTTTTTATTATTACTAGTATTACTTAACATTTTTAAGAATCTGACCCACCAGTAATAGCCTTTAGTTTATAATAACGATAAAAATAATACGGAGTATAACCACGTACGTACGTAAGTAGTCGTTGTCCTTGTCGTTGGTCCGGCGGCTAACCTGTTTTTTTTCTCCCCCGGCGAGCTCCCCTTCCGGTGACTGGTTCAGTGGGTTGCGGCGTCATTCAGTGGCAGCAGTCAGGTCTGGCGGTAGAAACTCCGGCTTCTTTTCTTCCTCCGGCGTACAACTGGGTCTTCTTCTCCGGCGACGGTTTGTCTTCTCTGCCGGCGTCTATACAGTCCGGCGCTCTTGGAATATTATCCCGGCATGCCATCCCCCCTTTTTTAGACGACGCAGCATAGAGGTTCTGGCCACTCAGGTTTCCCGCCGGTGATATGCAACTTGTCCGACGATGCACCTTACTTCGACGCACCGGCCTGGGAAATCTCCGGCTGCCTCTAACGATGCTATTTTTCTTGTTTCTCTTATCTTTCAGTGATGGGAGTCGCAGTATTTTTACTGAGGAACTTTGTTCGATGGTTCGTTTATATACTACGTATACGTATATCATATCACTGTGAATAAGGAGTACATAGTATTATTACGTAGGTACGAAAAGACAACTGGCTATGAGAATTATTATTCTTTCATCTTATTTTCGCAGATGTAAAATATTGTTCTGAATTTGTTAGTATCATAGTCGCATTATTATGTAAGTATGCATGTATGTGTATTATTATTCGATGGGAAAGGACAGACAAGTTCATATGGAGGAGCAGAACAAGGCCATGTGATGTACGAAGTATGAGCCATGCATGAGGTATGCCATGTGTGTCACATGGTATTCACGTAATAGGAGGGTCATCGCAATAGTCTCCATACAAATAATAACTAAATTAATATTTTCAAGTGCATAGTATTCCTATGAGTTATATTGCACCGTTGGAGTACGTATAATAATGTACCTCTTATCATTGTTATGCTTAAAAAGTCAGCTTTGTAATTTCTGTACAAATATTATCAACCGATATCTTTTGAGTTAAAAATTGTTAAATTGTCACTTTTATTATTTATGTCAAGGTCCTATCTGGTCAATATAATTATTATAACATGTCACTTTTATTGTTGAAACATTTTTATCTTATTAAAAAATGTCATTGATGTTAAAATTTTATCTGATTCACTTATTTTATCTGACTAATAAAAACATTTTATCTCACTAATAAAATTTATTTACTTTATTGAAATTTTTCGGGGTGTCACAATAATGAAGAAAGCTGGAAGAAAGGTTCAAACCGTCAAACTGAGATCGGCGTTTGATGATGATAGGGTGGAGGTTCGCACTTCCGCAATACAAGAATTAGAACACATATGTGCGGTGCAGATAGGCTGGGTCAATCCACGCTACATTTAGGTTTGAGATCTTGAACCATTGTACCAAGAACACCGGCTAGGGACATGGGAGCGGGTGTTTTTACATAAATGGTGCTTGCATCTGTTTTTTAGTTATGACTAATTCTTTGCATTCACGATTGCATTGGAGCGGTTCATTTAATTTAAACGTCTATGTATCCACCTCAGCTTCGCGGACCTTCTAATCAAGTGACGTGTCCATTTTTTAGGAGATGCAATCCATTTCGCCATTAAAGATGCTCTTAGTTTAGGATGAACTCACATTTCTCTCTAATCCTTTATCGTCGATCTAATTGTCTCAACCAAGGCCGGTCCTGGGGGGGACAACAGGGACGATCGCCCTAGGCCCAAAAATTTCGAGAGACAAAAATAGGCCCAAAATGTTTTCTCCGTACATAGTGTGATTAGGCTTCTTCTTTTTATTTTTAAGTTTGATTAATTAGGCCCGATGTCTAGATTTTGTTGACAATTCGAAAAATAAAGGGAAAAGTGTCAAATAGGCCCCCCTACTAGTACGAAAAAGTCAATTAAGCCCCTGAACTCAAAAAACATCCAATTAAGCCCACGAACTAAATATAACGAGGCAAAACAGTCCTTTTAGCAGGTAATTAAGCGGTTAGAAAGAGATAAGGAAAAAAGGAAAGAAAGAGAAAAAGAGAAAAAGAAAATGTAAAAGCATGCCACATCATTTGCCACACATGCAACTTAACTGGAACGGTTAATAACCTGCTTAAAGGACTGTTTTGCCTCGTTTTTATAGTTCGTGGGCTTAATTGAGTGTTTTTTGAGTTCAGGGGCTTAATTGACTTTTCTGTATTAGTAGGGGCGCCTATTTTTAACTCAATAATAGATTTTTGAAATGTCTTAAACGAGACGAAGTTTAAAACATTAATTTTAAGTAAGACCAGTTATAGTTTTTAAAGCAATAAAATTGTTGTTGAATCAATAAAAAACATGTCTCTTTAATCTTCATATCTCTTTAGCTTTTAATACTTTTTATTCCTTTTAAGCGAGTATTGATGATTTTGCTTCACATTATTCTGCGGGAAACAATTTAAGTAATGTTTTTTTCTTTTTATGTAATAATTGAATTGTTACATTTGCCCAAATATGTAATTTAAATAATAGTAAAGTGATTTTGGCTTTAATTGTATGACTTTGATTAGATATTTTTGTTATAATTCATATTTTAAATATGTATAGTTTATTGTTTATCTTGTGTATAGGCCCAATATAGTATTCTTGCCCATAGACTTATAAATAGGAAGGACTGACCCTGGTCTCATCTCTTTCATATCATTCTTGTTATTTGCACAAAACTTGCTCATCTATTTGCCTAGCTAATTAATATTACTCTTTCCATGATGCTAATCTTGTCCAGTTCATTGATTACTCCTTATATAAACACATCTCATAATCCCCTGAAAATTAAAACCGTGCAGAAAGAGTGAAATTAATATTAGCGATCTTTTTTGTGTCTCTTATATCACATTTACATCATCCGCATCGGGATAGTCTAAGCATCCAATACTTAAGACAATGGCGTATCTAGGATATTCAGCCAGCAGGGGCAAATTTACATTAACGGTATCACACATATTTAAAAAATAAATATTAATTAAAAATTTGACAGTTGATTAAAAATAAAACAATTTTTTATAAGAAACAAATGAAATATGTAATTATATGTTTATAACTAATTTAAGTTACAAATAAACAAGTGTGTTTTAATACTAAGTGCAAAAAGATGTGATTGAAATTACATATAATTTATTAGTTACATTAAAATAAATTATTTTAAAACTAATTTGGATATTAGGTTTAGACATTCTATTGTTTATTTAAATACAAAACCAGAAATATATAAGAAATGGATGAAATATGTAATTATAAGTGATTTAAGTTACAAATAAACATGTTTTAATATTAATCAAGTGTGAAAATATGTTATTGAAATTCCATATCATTTATTAGCTACATTAAAAAAATTAATTTGAATTTTATATTTGGACAAACTTAATTTAAACAGTTTCAAGAAAGCATAAAAATAAAACAAAGTGGAGTTGCCAAGGGGATTCGAACCCTTGACACTTAAAAAGAGTGCGTGCCACTCCATCCGCTTGGCTGCTGTGCTAGATAGGTCTAGTAGTGTTTTAATGAATACTTATACTATGTATAATACAATGATATATGTATACAAATAAAATTTGAAATATATATATAATGGGGTTGGGTGGGGGTTGAGTGGGGGCAGCTGCCCCCCGCCCCCATAGTAGATATGCCCCTGACTTAAGAGGTCTTTACTTCGCTACTAAAGTAATAGTTAGGTTAGTAAGACAAGTGAAGTAAACATGCATGCTGCTTAAAAGCTCCTTACTAATCGAAAGATGTGTTTAAATTCACTAGTAGAAAAATGGCTTAAAGTGACACTTTAATAGTGACATTTTCTGAAATAATACCACTACTAACATAAAAGTGTCACCATTTTCTAACACAAATATATCAATATCACTTAGTGACACTCAAACATTTGTTACTGAGTATATTTTTACACGCGTACCTATTTGGGCCGGCCTGCGGAGTTTAAAAAAACGGTGTTTACATCTGCTTACCTTTTTCGCTTCTTTCTACGAACCCTACCCAACTCCTCGATCTATGAATTGAAGACAACGACGCAGCCCCCGATGACTTCGACGCAGATGCCGCCGCAGTTGCTCTCGATGACTTCGACGAAGACGACGCCGGTGCTACTCCTGACGACTTCGAATGTGACCGTTGCTGCTCCAGGTTCACAGAAGAAGACCTGGTGCTCTAGAGCGAATGAGGATTGACTGCGGCTAACAGATTGAGGTGGGTGACGTCTGCACAGATTGAGGTGGACGGTGGCTTCTCCTTTTGTGGTTGGTTGAGCCGATCTTGGCCAACGACGATGACGATTTCAGCGATGAACGACAATATATGATGGGGACGACCAGCAGCAGAACTAGAGCTGAATCCGGCGCTCTTGAAGCTTTCATCCTTTCCCGTCCTCCTGCTGTAAAACTGCTCTGCTTGCTTCCTCTGTTGCTGAAAGATGTACTCTCCTCTTTGTTTTTAAATTTTATTTACTAAAATGACACTTTTAGTGTAAGTAAATCGTTTCCAAGTATTCATAAAGTAATTACTGAATAAAACATCATAGATTTACATTTATGGTGCTCCTTATTAGCCGTGAATTTGCTCAGCCTAAAAATGGAGAGGCGGAAGCCTATTGATACTTTGAAATTATGTGACCACCTGTGCTTTGTTGTTGCTAGAAGCCTGTTTTTTTAAAGATGCTGCCTCCCTGCGGTGCCTACCTACTAGTTGTTGCGTGCGCATTGGGTGAAGTTGTGACTGCCCGTGAAGCCTGTGATTCTGTGAAGCCGTGTAGGTGAGTTTTACTTTTACAATTCAATTCTTTTATTTTATCTAATTCAATAATTACGAATTATATATATCTAAATGGCTGTCTAATGTCTTTAAGTTTTCAGATTTATGATGTCCACACGGAGATTTGGCAACTTTATATTTATGACTTGTGACTTAGATTCATGGCTATTGTTATAGTAGTGTCAAAATTTCTGTCTATTGTCTTTAAGTTTTCAGATTTATGATGTCTACGGAGATTTGGCAACTTTGTATTTATGACTTATGACTTAGATTTATGCCTATTGTTATATTAGTGTCTAAATTTCTGTCTAATGTCTTTAACAGGTATTTCCTTCTATTCACCTCTTGAGTACTTGGAAGTTGGAATGTATAAATATTAAAGTGGCATGGAGCAAAATTAAAACAAACTGCAAAGAAAAGGTACAAAGAAACAAGACTAGAAGAATTATTCAGAATTTAGGCTGCATTTCTTAGTACAGTTTTAATGTTTCCTACATGCCTTTCTTTCCTAGGAGTTTTCTCATACTTTTTTTTTCTGCCTATATATTTGCTTGTTCTTGCTTGAAAAGCTTAAAAGGAACAAGTTGATCTGTTAGAAGTTTTATTCTACAGTAGCAAATTCCCCTCAAAATTAATTATTGGTTTTCCTCAAAGTGGTATTAAAGCATTGTGAATCA